CCTGGACCATCAGTCTGAGAAAGAGGCCTATGTTAGGTTAATAATTGAGACTTTAGTGGTGTTCTTCCCTAATGTGTAATCCATCGGGTTCTCACTAATACACTATGCTCCTTGCCCAATCAAATTTCAGTTCTTTAATTTTAAACTATGCTTTTTAGGAGTCCAATAGTTTAAGAGTCTGATAATTGGTGCTGTGTTTAATGCCAGGAATACAAAGATAAAAATCTATAAGCTGAAGGAGCATTTGCATCAGAACCAAAGGGAATCGTGTTAAAAATAACAATTCTTAGAACTTATTTTAGACTTATTAAAAGATAATGTCTTGGCTTGAGGACCTAGTTCAAGCATCTCAGATAAGACATGGCACCTTCAAATTGGGGACTGGTCTGATGGAAATTAAAGTTACATGTTTTGTTTACTCCTGTATCTATGAGGTGGAGGGTTATAGCTACCATGAGACATCTGCTAAACTCCTGGCAAACAGAGTAAACTATGATAACACCCCTCGGCACATGTCCTGAGCAGGACCATTTCAATGGTCACAGCAAGACAATTTCACTTAAAATAGATCAGATCTGTTTCCAAAATAAATGGAAAAATCAAAGAGAATTTTAGTGTAATGAAACTTTTGCTAACTGAAATTTTAAACCATTACTATTTAAATGATCATCCATTTATAATCTTAATTTTTAAGTGAATAAATTTTAAGCCATAACAGGGTTTGATGCCATGGCTGCAGTGCTAAGAAATATTTAAAAGGGAGACTCTTGAATCTGGATTTTAGCATGAAACAAGAAACAACTAACATTTCAACAGCGATATATTAAAGAAAATTGAAACCAAAGGAAATCTTACTCTTCTAGCAAGAGTATTTAAGCCCTGGCTTATGCCATGGAGATGTACTTGTACACATTGTTCTCAATATGATCATGATGAGCTTCCCACACATCCATGCCTTTGTTCTAGTATGGATCCAAATACAATGCACTTTGAAGATCAATAAATAATTATCATACACAGAATTTCTTTGTACCATTCTATTACTTTGCTGTCTGCAGTCTGTCAAATGCATTTGGGCAGAATTTAGCATGTGAATGAACATAATTACAAAGAGATTGCATGACCCATGAAGGGTTTTTATGAGGTGGAAAAGCTCTCCCTTTGCCATCCCGATGACAGCAGAAATGGAAATCATCTAGTAAGTAAACAAAAATTTAGTTCAATGGTCTCGATTTCCAGAACCACTGTATATTGATTTTCTGCCAACGAGATAAATGGCTCTTGGCTATGGTATATTCTTACTTATTTATATATTTATTTACTCATTCATTAATTTTGTGGTGTGGTAACTGTGGCTCCCAAAGAGAATTAGCCCCTGAAATAGTAGAACCCTTCAAAAGCTTCAAAACTTGCACCTAATGGGGTGAAACACAGCTCCAGGAATGAGAAATAAAAATAATTCTAGAGTTCCATGGGGTTGATGCCTACCTGCCTTTTACACTGCATGGGGGTCAACATTCAAATAACTCCCTTAGAAAACAATGAAGGTTTTGAAACTAGCCAAGATTCTGCAGTGGACATGCCGTAACATAGGTTCAGCCCAGTGGAATTATACCAAGAAATCAAATACTGACACTACATCCCATTTGATCACCTTCCGTCACACCATTGTTTTCATCAAGGGTCAAGAAAAATGAGGGATGGTCACAGTTCTAGCTTCTAATCCCAGTGGCTCTGGAGGCTGAGGCAGGAGGATGGAGAGTTCAAAGGCAGCCTCAGCAAAAGCAAGGCATTAAGCAACTCAGTGAGACCCTGTCTCTCAGTAAAATACAAAATAGGGCTGGGGATGTGGCTCATGGTCAAGTGCCCCTGAGTTCAATCCCGGGTACCCCTTAAAAAAAATAGACAACAGTGATTTATTCAGGAAATCTATACATTTGTGGTGTTAATTCATGTTGTAAAGACTCTGAAGTCCTACGTGGATGACACAAGTTTCCTAAATTTCATTGACCATTATTATGTAACCTAGTAACTTTCCCCAGATATATGGAAAATAAGGCTTGATGGGTTCTGCAGACACATCTCTTCCCATTCTGCACCTTGTCAGGTCACTCATGTATTTCTCAACCTGCAGCTTTGGGCTGTGCTGTGATTTTTATTTTAGTTCTTCTGCTTTGTTTTATTCCTCTGTGACACTCATCTCAGCTTTAAGGTACTAAACTTGACCTCTAGTCCGGTCATTGTGTAGCCATCACTGTGCATGAGAAGCTTTTCTAAATACCGAGTGCCAAACACCTGTACTCGGAGTCCTCACTAAATCTGGTCTGTCATAACTAAAATCACCCTTCCTAATAATTGTGTATTTGATTATCTCACTTTCTTGTTGAATTGTAAGCTCCATAGACCTGCATGTTGAACTGTCGGCATCAATATTTGGTTCCAGTATCTCATACAGTTCTTAGCATATCAAAAGTGCTAAAAATGTCAGGTGCGCCAGCCTCAGCAACTTAGTAAGACCCTGTATCAAAATAAAAAAGAAAAAGGGCTGGGGATGTGACTCAGTGATTGAGTGTGTCTGGGTTCAATTCTTAGTACCAAAAAAAAAAAGGAGGGGGATAAGTAGGTATTTAATAACTTAAAATGAATATCTTGAACCACTAGTCTTAAGAACCATTTGGGGAGAATATAAAATTTAAGAAAGCCTCAGATTCTCAGTTAATTATTGTGCTTTGACATGAGTGAGGTGCATTAGCCTATACAAATTACTTCATTTTACTTCATTTTACTCTATTTTAATTCCCCTTGCCTAATCTTGAGGTCATAGTCTATTTCACCAAGTAAAGTCTGATGTGTCAGACTTCAGAAATTCCAACACCCTGTTCTACTTGGTGTTAATTCCATAATATACTCATCTTTTCCAAAAATTCTGCACAATGTTCACTTTATATTTCCATTTAAATAATTTTGCATTGAAATGTTCATATACTACACCTGAGAATTTCACTGCTCTCAAACTACTTAGATGCTACCTGTAGTGCTTCCAAGTGACTATCAGACTTGAGGATAGTTCCTGATTCTTACTCTTGTTCTAATATTCAGGGAAAGTACATTTGGGGTCTAAGTGACTCTGAAAAGACATTCTGGATTGTGGCTTCCCTCCTGAGAGGCATCATCTGCATGTAGCATATTTAGGAAAGCTGGTGTTTCTTAAATAAACTGATGGTGCTGCTATGGAGTGGGATGGTGGCTGATGTCCACAGCAGTCTTCATTCTTGGAATAGTTTGGAAACTCTGAGACATCCTCTAAAAGTCTACTGATAGCACTTCAGTTTCTCTGGACCATATCTGACATTGATCTACCTCACAGGTAAACATATTCATTCACTCAATAAATGTGAGCACAGACTGATCATGGTGCTAGGGTTGCATGGAGCACAGGTGACTCAACTTTTTTTTAATATTTTTTAATCACCAATGAACTTTTATTTTACTTATTTATATGTGGTGCTGAGAAATGAACCCAGTGTCTCACACATGCTAGGTAAGCTCTCTACCACTGAGCTACAACCTCAGCCCCTGTGAGTCAACTTTTAAAAGGATGGTTACAGAGATTGCAAAAAGAGAAAAGCTATAGCAATGTGTATGATGTTATACTCCATGTAAGAATGGCATGGGAAAAGGTGAGTTGACAATTGGCAATTAACGTTCTAAAATTGCAATTTAAAATAATACTGTCCTTTATCAAGGAGCAAAGCCGTACATGTGTTTGAGAGTCAGTAGAAACCTTCTACCTTTGGAATGGTCTCTTTATTGCTTGCCAGTAGTTATATCCACAAATTTACCTCTGTATGGTGAGAAGCATTTTCTAGAATATTTTTATAGGATTTAGAGAAAGATGCTATTGTCTGTGAACTACTTGGAACCCTAGTCTCACAATTGGATATGAAAATCAAATTGACTTAAAAGTCAAATAACCAAACAATAATGAACCATAATTAAGACAAGTATAAAGTATAATGTAGAAAAATGAATTAAATAAATTGAGATAAAATGCATTGAATTGCTAAGAGTCACTATTTCTTCTTAGCGCTCTTAAAAATTTTCAAAATTGTGTAATAATGACAAGGAATTATATGTTTTAAGTTAAAAGTGTATGTACAAAATTTAAATAGTTACAACTTTATAATTATAGAAAATATATAGTACTTGTTTTTTTTTTTTAAATCAATCAGGGTGAATTGCTCAGAGTCAACATAGAGGACCAGCCATAATGTGAGGCATTATCTCAACTCTCACTAGGACTCATTCTTTCACATTAAGGACCAGTAAAGAGGATAAACATTTGAGCAAAAATATCCTGAGAGCATCCTTTAACTGCTTGTGAATTCCTCCTCACCCTTTCCCTACCCCCTACACACACACACACACACACTCTCTCTCTTTCTGTGTCTGCCCCTACTATGTCATACAAACCTCTCGTTCATTTATCTTGTGTAGCATCTCTACAGACTTGTCCATAAAACTACCTTCCTCATCTTTTGAACCACTCTCTTGGCACACATAAACACACTCCGAAACACGCAATTTGCACCCATAATGATAAGGCCTGCTGCTGTTGGTGGCCGTATACATATGCACGCAGGCTATAATCTCTCACTATGAAGCCATCCTTTCATTTAGTATAAATAATAATGGAAAATGATTTACCCTATTTATTCCCCTTATTCATATTTTATTTATTATTGTAATTAGCTGATGCATATCAGAAAAATGGAGTGCTGCTTGCATTTTCTATGGATAGATTTCTGCTTCTGCCAATTACCTTTCAGCTACCCTCCCGTTAATAAGTTTGACCAAAAAAAAAAAAAAAAAATAAGGGTTGGGTGAAAATCAGAATCTCTGTACTATCTATGCACACCTATTAAAATTATTCCCAAAAATATTATAAAAAAATAAGAAATGGAGGAAAAGGAAAAGTGGAAGGAAGGATGTGAGGAAGAGAAAATCATGGAAGAGGGAAAGAAAAAGCAAAGTGTGTGGTTTTAAGGACTGAAAGACAACAAACCCTCATACATTAATGATAACAATCATTATGTCTGCTTTTGTGTGTGCCTGATGATCTATAGCCATCCGTTCTCAGTATTGAGGTATATTGTTAATTAGGGCTCGTGCACCTCCAAGTCAATTAAATTTGTTTTATTAATGCATAATTCAATATTGTTATGTATAACGGAACCCTTAAAAGGATTTTAAAATTCTTTCTTCTGATGTGGCCTGAAATATTTCAAGGAAACACCCACTGTCAAGTGAGTGAAAATGAATAATTATGGGAGCCCTAACACCCCACAGTTGAGCAGACAAGACAGCTGCTATTATTAAGCACTGCAAATTGAAAGTATGGATTCTATCATTACCAGAACAAAGACAGTGCTGGGATAATTATGGAAACGCTATAGCTTCCATTTTTTTGCTAATGTTTTTGGTAGAATATTTAAAAGGTTAAGACAGAGAGCTCAATTTCTTTATCTTGTTACCCGCCTAGATGATTGCATTTTTTTCTACTGATTGTAGTCATAACAGAGCTTACAATCCCTGCGACATCACGATAAGAAAGCACGGATTTGGGCAAGAAATTAAATGATAATAAACATAGCGTGGACGCAGTGGGGGTGATATTGTTTAATGTCAGTGGTGACTGAAACTACCTTCTAGATGACTGAAGCTTTGTTGGCCTCGTCTGTTTATATTAATTTCTCCCTTTCAAAGGCCATTATCTTAAATTGCATGTTATATAACTTGTGCCACCTCCCTCCAGCCTACGGACCTGCTTCGAAAGCAACTTGATGATGCATCGTGTAGGGGGAAAAAAAAAAGATTCTTAGGCTCAGCATCCAAAGAGATTACCATCTTGAGACTGTAATGGGAATGGATTAAACTTTGTACCATTTCCTTTTGTCACGTGCATTGAATCCCGTTGTGCTATTTTCTATGCTCCTTTCAATCTTTGTCACGAAATAATGATCTCTGAAAAGTGCGAGCATTGCTTAGGCCACCCTGGCCTGGTTTTAACCCAGCCAGGATCTTACAGTTTGATGGGTTTCTGAATTCTCCGATCCCTGAGAAAACAAAGCAAGAGGACAGGGACAAACCCACCCAACAAATGACAGAACACGAAAAAGGTCATTATTCTTTGGCTCAGCCAGGCTTAACAAGGACATCGTGATTTTCATGCTGATCTCATGCCAAAAAATTAAAAGGGAAGGGGAGGTGTCGCAACATAAATCCAATCTTCTGACAGCAATCGCACCCCTCTGCAGGAGTGGGGAAAAGCAGCCTTCGTACCAGGGCCCTCGTTCTCAGTGCAACTTCAGGGCCCCAGCAATCGCAGACGCTCAGGGGTCAGAATTTTCACATTTCCACCACCTTGGAGAATGAGATGGAGTCATTCAAACATCCATGGCATCTGCAGACTTTGATATTGCTTCAATTGACCAACGCCAGGAGAGAAAACACAAACACGCCTATTAAGAAGGAGAATAAGAGAATCACTTGCTCAGAACTTGATTTTGTTTTGATCTCTAGAGAGTCTTTGATGTTGGGAGAGCTGCTGCATGCAATGCACAGTTTTCAGTACTTTGGTTGCATGCAAATTAAACTCATTTGGTTGAAGTTGGAAAGTAAAATATTTTTGCTACTTTTTTTTTTTATATAGGGATTTCAAGTAACTCCATGACCACCAATAAATAACTAATTTACTCAAATAAAATCCATAAAATTTGCCACATTCAAATATGCAGAGATTTAAAAAGAAAAAGGAAAAAAAACTGTGTGCTTTTACTTAGCTGAAACTTAAGCTATTTATTGTATGTCTTTAAGTGGCAACATGGCTTGAGCTATACCATGCCTGTTTTATTTTAAGAATGATTCATTTGTAAGCACATCGTTTTCAAGTAATTGCATAGAGTATAGTATTAGGGATCAGGAAATCTGATAAAGGTAATAAAATCTTGGATGTGTGAGTTTTGTTCACCTCAGGGCATCAGAGCATTATACCAGTTTTAGCCTGTGTTCCTTTCTCAGTAGCCTTCAGAAATAATCCATGAAGCTGTAGTTGGAACGTAAGTCACTGCTGAAGAAGAACTGCTGAATGTTGCTGAAGAGTCCACTTATATGCTGGTTGATTTACAATCAACTCAAAATGTTGTTCTGTGTCTGGTTGGGTCATTTTTATCCTGTTTCAGGCACCAGAATCTCCCATATGCTGCCACAAAGAAAGAAACCAACTGATATTTTAAATATAGGTAGAAATACTGATAAAGATATAAACATAGATCTTAGACCAATCATCTAAACTAGAAGATAGGAAATATCTTTTTTTGCAATCAAAATAGAGTATGAAAACAATTGTAATTAAAATGGACATCTCTCAACCTTACAATTAAAATTGCTCATTATACTCCACTAGTTTTTGTTACTATACATGGCAACTATTTGGACCCCTGTAGCATATATTTTCAAATGTTATGATCCTATATAACACTGGGACTTTTTTCTTGGTGCATGGACTGCCCTGGTTCATCAGGGTTATCTGGAAATAGAAATAAATCAATGCATAGATACTCCCAGTGTTTTCATTTAATAGTCCTTGCTCTTGAGAAATCTCTGTAACGTGTAATGATATATTAAGACTTACTAATCCTTGATTAAAAAAAAAGAGTGTTAATCTTATATTATTCTAAAACAAGAAAATTTTCTTAAAAAAGATTATTTAGTTTACATTATATCTATGCCTGGAGTTATGCAAATAAAAAATACCAAATAAACAACTCTTTAGAAACAATTGTGTCTGAACTATGGAGAGGTGGAAATTGTTGATAAACAAATGCTTTCTCAATTTATAATGGGATTATATCCCATCCAACACACCTATCACAAATTAGAAACACCAGAGTTGAAAACGCATTTAATACAGCTATCCTACCACACAGTACAGTTTAGATTCCTCATGATTGACTGGAACTGTGCCTTGCTGCCATTGCCTAGCTTTGCAAGAAAGTATCTAATCACGAATCACTAGCCTTAAAAAGAGCAACATTCAAAGTGTGGTTTACCTGGAATGGATATCACTTTTGCACTGTTGTAAAGTTGGCAATTTATAAGTGGAGGCAGCATAATTCTGGGACCGTTTTTATTCATTCATTCATTCATTCATTCATTCATTCATTTTTACTTTCTTTTTTAAATTGATCTTATTTTTTAACATACACATAATAATTTTTAACTTTATTGAAATTTATTTTTAATTTATTTTATTTTTTAACATTCATACAACAGAATGCATTACAATTCTTATTACACATATATAGAGCACAATTCTTCATATCTCTCTTTGTATATAAAGTATGAACTCTAGATAGGGCAGAGGGATGGGAGGGAAAGAGAGGGGGCAGGGGGTTAGCAATGACAGTGAAATGTGGTGGACATTATTATCCAAAGTATATATATGAAGACATGAATTGGACCATTTGTATTTAAAAAGATGATTACAAAAACAATATGCCATGTTAAACATTGATAAGTTGACTAAGCTGTTGTCATTTGGAATCACGGTTTAATTGTCTTTCAGAACTGGTAAAAAATAGCAATGAGGGTAGTACTGGCTACTTTGGGAAGTTTTAGAATTTCATGGGGGACATTTTTTTGGTTACACTATGATGAGTGTGCTGAGGATTTAGTGACTGTGACTGCTAAGTGACCTGAAAATGCTTAGCTGGTCCTGTATAACTTTTGTGTCTCCTTTCAGACATTTCAGTGCAGGCATCATATGGAATTTTATATTTTCTCCCATTTGCAAATAATTTTAATAAAATTATTTTCCATTTAGATCTTGAAGTTATTAAATCTAGAATATTGCATTGAGCTTTAAAAATTACATTGTTGCTACTTCTTTCATCTATTAATTTCATTCAGAAAAGGAAAGAAGTAGATGAATGGATAAAGAAAATATGGTATATATACACAATGGAATATTACTCAGCATTAAAGAAGAATAAAATCATGGCATTTGCAGGTAAATGGTTGGAGTTGGAGAATATAATGCTAAGTGAAGTAAGCCCATCTATAAAAAAACAAATGCCGAATGTTTTCTCTGATATGTGGATGCTGATTCATAATGGGGATGGGTGGGAGCATGGGATAAATGGAGGAACTTTAGATAGGGCAAAGGGGAGGGAGGGGAAGGGAGGAGCCATGGGGGTAGGAGAGACGGTGGAATGAGATGGACATCATTACCCTAAGTACATGTATGAAGACAGGAATGGTGTGACTCTACTTTCTGTTCAACCAGAAACATGAAAAACTATGCTCTATATTATAGTATGAATTGAATCGCATTCTGCTGTCATAT